TTTTCTTATTTATTATCACCAAAGATAAATAAGGCTAATTTTGAATAAACAAAAAAAAAAAGTTTGGTCTCGATGTCATTTTCTTGTACAATCTGGAAAAATAAAATGTTTAATTTGAAAACATGAAATATACAGCTTGCAACTTGCACTGTCATTTGTTGTGTGGGTACACTGAAAATGAACCCTATATCGAATTGGAAAGATTAACAAAAAGTGAAATCTATCAATATTCATTATTTTTTTCTTCTTATTTTTTCCATCTTTTCTATTCCTTGCTCTTTTTTTCTTATTTCTTTTCCTCTCTTCTTCCCTCTTCACACAAAGTGATAGTTTCAAACTTTCAACAGATCATTGAGTGTAGAGTCCAAAGTAATATTTAGCCGTAAGGAAATACCCTCCAGAAAAATGAAATCGCTCAAATGCTTTGTTTATTGAATTATATTATTCATATCATCACATGTCACTTATTTTACCTATACTTTTTTCTTTCTCCCCCTTTTGTACAAAATGTAGAAAAAACGAAGTACAACTATAGCATTTCTCTTCCTCTTATTTACTCATTTTAAAATGGGTCCAAAGTAGCAGTACTATAATAATGAATGCAGATAGATATGATGAATGTGAAATTGTGAGTGGTAGCTTCATTTCCACAAGTTGAGGTAGTACAATATAGAGAGAGAAAGGAAGAGGTTTTGATTTGTGTAGCTAGATTAAGACCTTGACACCACAGGGAATGGACCATCAATTAAATTGCATATTGATCAGGTGACCCTTGTGGAGTTATACTTGTCAATTCTAATTGCATGTCATGGACCAGAATTTTAACTTGGGACAATTTGAGACTCTTTACTCAATCTTCTTCCCACCCAAATCATATCCAAATCCAAAAATGCATGTGTTCATTCACTTCTTTTGTATTGGGAGTTGCCTAGTCTTAAATCAAATATAATTAAAAGAATGAATTTATTTTTAGTCTCTTATCTTTAAAATGTATCAAATTTTATCTTTATTACAAATTTCGTTAATTTAATTTATCAGTAATCCGTATTTAAAATCATTATTTTTAGACTTTAGATTAGAATACGTGAATAACGTCTCTAATGATTAAATATCCATTAAATTGGATTAACGAAATTTATGACGAGAATAAATTTTTTACACATTTTAAAAATAAAGGACTAAAAATAAACTTTTACATACGAGGAAAAAAATGTTTATCCCTGATTAAAAAAACAATTGCTAATTGCATGTTAAAAAACAATTGCTAATTGCATATTTTCAATTTGTGCCAACAATTCTGGTAAGAAATTTAGGTATAGGATGGTCCAATACAGTACCATTCTAGCAGTAGGGGAGATTCTTGCCTTTTGGTCCCAACCCATATTGTGGAGGTTGGGCTACTTGGGTTGCACCCTTTTGTGCAAATGCAATAATTGGCAACAGAGATTCAGAGCCATGTGAATTTCTGAATTTTTTGGGTTTGGCTGACAAATGTTACTCCTTCCGTTGTTTATTATTAATTTTTTTTTTGACGTTTAAGATTTATGTACAATAATTAAGAAAATAATTGATATTTTAATTTTTTAAAGTATTTATTACTTATTTTTCTGTTATACCTTTTAGATGGTTAGAGAAGAAATAGGTACTCCTTCCGTTTTTTTTTTCATTATCATTTAAGATTATGCACAAGAATTAAGAAAATAATTTATATTTTAGTTTTTCAAAGTATTTATTACCTATTTTCCTGTTATACCCTTTAGGTAGTTAAGAAGAAATAGATACATTGAAAAATAAATAGACATATTGTTCAGTAAACATACATTAATTATTAAAGGTAAAAATGAAAAATAAAATTAATAAATCATTGATTTTTGAAAAATGACAATGAAAAAAAATAACAAAATACTAACATAACGACTATGAAAAAGAAACGGAGGGAATACATTGAAAATGAATAAATACATTGTTAGGTAAACATGCATTAATTATCAAGAATAAAAATAAAATAAAAAATTAACAAGTCATTAATTTTAGAAAAATGACAATAAAAAAATACAAAAAAATAATGTCAAAACGACCATAAATAAAAAAAATGAAAAAAATACAATAAAAATTTATTTTCAAGTGGCTGCTGTCTGAGGCAATTTATTGTACAAACAAATACTAAATTCTACAGCTACATTAATACTGTAAGAGTTTAATTTAGTCTTACACTTACATTTAATGATATATTGTCACATTATTTGGCGAATTTGACTACGTATGAGGTGTCAAGACTCAAACTCATTAAATTGCGTCAACGTATCATTTATAAACGTATTTTCTTATAAGTAGACTTACAATGTGTTTCATTGCCACAATGCTTCATCAAACACGAGACACGTTTTTTCCCCACCTTGGAAAAGTATTATTGGCAATTTATTGTAGCAAAGTTCATGAACTACAATAGAATTGTGACTCTCGTTTTATACGATAATATTTGTTTCATGTACATGAGACACGATTGTTTTACTCTTTTCACCACGATAACTCAATGATCACTTCAAAAACAAAATAATGACTCCTTTTTTTTTTTTCCTTTTTCAAATAACTTATCATATTATAAAAAAAAAATTAAAAAATAGTTTAATAGACAAGTACTATATAGTATAAAAGTTCTTACCTATAAAGTATAAACCAATTTAAGGTAGCTATTATACCAATCAAAAATCTTCTATGGTACAATATTGTACTTAATAGTTTGTGATTCGATAAAGATGTAAAAAAAATCTTTACACTATCAATGTACATATCTTTTATTTTAAAAACATTCTCAAGTAATTTCATTTATATCCATTTCCAAATTAAGAATTGCCTTTTTAACTTGTATTCAACCAAATTTGGGATGTCATGGGATGAAATACTAATTGCCATTCAATTTTGTAGGGCCATTCGAGCTCTAAGATGACTCATGATGGGCCTGCTTAAAAATAGAATGCGAGGAAGGAATTTGCTAACTTATAAGCATGGTGTTGAAAAATTCAACCGCCACCGGGAGAGTTTATTTTTATTTCACTTCATTCACAATCATTATTATAAGAAGAAAGGCTAGAAGTTACGGTAACAAGTAAATCATTATTATCCTTACAATGTATAATTATTTTATTTTATTTTGGAATTACATCAATTAAATCGAAGATATTTTATTTTAAATTCCTTGTGCAATTTTAAATAAATGCCCCACAATGACTTGGTTGGGAACCCATTATAGGTAATTGGTTACCTCATAATCTTAATTTCCCTCTACAATGTATATGGAGTTTTTTTTTATGCATAAGAAAATATATAAAACAAGCTTAAGAAAGAAACTAAGGTCTGACAAACAAAGTGCTCATAACATCAACTAAAACAAAAGGAAGGAAAGTTGATGGACATATAGCTATTATAAGATTAAACTGAGAAGCAAATTTAGCTTATTCTTTTGCTTAGAGACGTCCAAGAGAGATTGTATAAAAGCAATGATACTAGTGTGTGAATGATAAACATCAATCTCATTGGTGATGAAGTGAGCGAAAGAGTTGAGTCCATATTACAAACATGTGCCAACTTCCTTTGGCAACTTTTAGATCAAAATATAAGGCATAAAAACTTAGTAGTGGTAACAGTTGAGAAATCATAAATCCAATTTTCCAAGGAATTACAAAGAATACCTTCAAACCCGATTGGACCTGAGTTCTCAAAGGAGCTTCCATCAATAATAATCTTAATAAGAGCATTGGGAGGTGACACCGACAAGAGTTGGAATCTTCAACTGAGGTTGAACTTTGGAACAATTTAAAGTCATTTTTCTCTGTTGAATCTCCAAAACTCATAATAAACTTCACATGACTCATAAGCATATTCAAACTCTAGACAACAAAATAAAGAGGAACAAAACCCTTCACCATGTGAGCCAATTTACAATAATGGATAGTTAAAATTCAACAATGAGTATATAATTCTAGGTTAACGAAAACATCCGTACGGATCAATTTACAACACTCTTTGAAACACCTTATTTAGTTTCTACAACCCATTTTTGATATTTGCAGCTCTAGAATTATATGTTAATAATATCACAGTCTGCCCTCTTAAACTAGAGAGCAGCGTTAGGCCATGTTGCACTTTACGGGGTGAGGGCGAAAAGAAAAACTAGAATTCAGACTGGAGAATATTAAAAAACCCTATTCATTATATATAATATATATATATATATATATATATATATATATA